AGACAGACAGACAGACAGACAGACAGACAGACAGACAGACAGACAGACAGACAGAGACAGAAACAAAAATAGACAGACAGAAAAACAAACAAACAGGGAAAGAGAAAGAGAGAAAGGGGGTGGGGGTAAGGGCTTACGCAGAGGAAAGTAGAATTGTCTCGATTAACCATCGCTCACATTTTCTAAAGAGTTAATGGAATAACAGCCCCTTTTTGACTGTGAAAAAGGCACTGAAATGTTGTTGTGATTCTGTCACCATTTGTAAATTTACATAGTAGTGCACAGGCCCCTACTAAAAAGAAGCTTGACTTTTCATATCATACAGACCTCCTGCAAATTCTGCAGAGACGTTGTGAGTGGTTACTCACTAATAAAAAGTCTCTGGATAACATTTCGAAATTGTATTTAAAGTATGGCATTTGGTGACGAAGGTGGAGTGCTGTGTATAGATTCCAAAGTGAGAAAGAGTAAAAATTAATAGAGAGGGAGAATGACAATGTGTGTGTGTATGAGTGTGTGTGTGTGTGTGTGTGTGTGTGTGTGTGTGTGTGTGTGTGTGTGTGAGTGTGTGCGTTGTGTGTGAGTGTGTGAATGTGAGGGAGAGTGAGTGTGTGAGAGAGACAGACAGACAGACAGACAGACAGACAGACAGACAGACAGACAGACAGACGTTGTCGAAATCACCCTCATTCCAAGTAACCTACCCTGGTGTGCAAAGCACGAGCCTTGTGCAGTCTGGGGTCAGGGGACGGAATCTTTGACAATGTTTTATCCACCTGTATCAAATTACTTGCTCTTCCCATTGGTATAATTAACAGAGTGAGCTTTCCGTGGCATTTCGAAAGGATCGCTCCAATCGCCTCGGCGCTGACTGAAGATCGACTGTTTACTTCTAATATGACGTCACCTGGAGATATGGAAACATGAACAAATGCTAAGACGCTTTGTATTCTTATAATTGCATGTAGTGTTGGTGGAAACGTAGGTTGTTTTTTCAAGAGTTTTTTGGGGGTATTTTTTCTTTGTTGAGGTTTTTTGTTGTTGTTGGTTGTTGTTGTTATTGCTGTTGGGTTTGTTTTTTTCTCTTCATTTTACTAGAGACTTGTTACCAAAGAAAGCAGTTTATTACTAAATGAAAGTCTTCCCATAAACTCATCCATTCTACCAAACGTGATAGATTATGTAAGGGATGAATACACGAATACATTTACTCCAAGCCTTGTTTATGATTGTTTCTTATGGTGGTTAAGATCAGGTTCTCACCTGTAATTCGGACAATATGTTTGAGTACAAATACATTTCGTGTTATTCTGATTTCAAGACAAATCAAAACGTCCTTTGCAGTTTTACACTCTGTTTTGAAAGAAAGAGTATACTTGTGGATCTTGTTGCTAATAGTGTACATTACGACAATCATGTGTCTAAGTGACTTACCAGCTCTTAGACCCACTCCATAGGCCGGCCCCTCATAGCTCACAGCTCCTACTCTCAATGGTTTCTCATTGAGGACGTTGAACCCATATCCTATGGGTACGTCAGGCTCCATGATGATAGTCTGGAGACAAGAAACAACCTCCAACTCGGGGGATTTAGTGTGTGAGGATTTTGCCAGAACTTTGATCTGATCTGCTGACATGTCTGTGACATCTCGCCCGTTCAGTTCTAGGATCTGGTCCCCCGGCATGAGCCCAGCCTTATAGGCCGGGGTTCCCTTCTCCACAGAAACAACATAGCTGGGTCCTCTGCCAAAAATATCGAATCCCAAAGTCTGGGGCCATTTTTGTAAAAACCGAAGAGGCATTATGTTGATATCCTCCAACTGCCAGTTTTTTGGTTCTGAAATATCGCACAACTCTAAGTCAGCCTGTCGAACGGTGTCGTAAGTCGAAGAGCGGATATATCCAACACAAAGAGAGAGACAATGAGACTCGAGGATTGGTTCACTGTTTTCTCCGATTCAGGAAAGATTCACAAATACTGGAAAGGATTAACTAGTCAACAAAAATAGCTTCGTTAAAGTTGTAGATTCAAGACTCCATCTGTTTTTGTTTTTTTGTGGCGGCGTGGATTGGAAAAGCCGTACTCCTAGCTTCAAATGAAGTCGGTGCTCATCTAAATTAATCATTGGCGAGGCCAATCACCCACAAGGCGGCCCCAGCCCCCAGCCTCAGCCTGCGAGACAACAGCATGCAGTGTAGGACAGAGAATCAATAGTCTTTGAATAAAAAATGAATCTCCGAAAATGTCCACGTTGCCAGTCAATACAATGTTTGCTTCCTAATAAGAATTCTCTGGCTTTCTTGACCTTGCGGCCCCGGTGATGTTATATTTCTCTTTTCTCTTTTTGTTTGTCTTCACGGGTTAAAAAGGATCGTCAGCGGCTTGGTTCAAGAAACCAATGTTCCATTTTGTTGGGTCTTTGTTTTGTTTGTTTGTTTGTTTGTTTGTTTGTTTGTTTGTTTGTTTGTTTGTTTGTTGTTACTGTGATGGGGGAAATAGATCTTTTTCAATTTCCACGCTTGATACAGCAGTTACCTTTGTCGTAATAACATTATGTATTTCCCTTATTTAACTCTTTAGGACCGGAGTTGACAAGAAGATGGTCAATATACAGACACGTACATGAAAAAGAACCCACCGTTGCGTCTTTGGTTCTTATAAAAGGGAAAGTTAAATCATGTTTCTAAATATAATATATAATAGTAGACCTACCTTTCTCCCCCTGGGCCCGGGGATTGTCAATGGCAATCTTAATTATTATCATATATTGGAATTTTGAAATTCATTTTATTGCCTTATTCTGACACAGTTTCCCAAGTAGTTCTTGCTGTGAAGTCCCCATTCAGGCGTCTTTTTTTTTTTTTGGGGGGGGGGGGGGTGTTTTACGGCTCTCGCAACTGCATTAGGTCATCTGAACGTGCGGACACACCAAACATTTTCAGTTGGAAGGAAATGTTGAATTTTGCCGGGTTGGCGGCCGAAGCCTACTCTTATAATTATCGATTTTGGGACCACCATTGAGGGATCTTTAACGCGTGCAACTTGCACACGGGACCACCGAGATTTTTCAACCTTGTCCGAGCAGAAGGCTAGGTGTAGATCTTTCCTTCCGCATGATCAGGGGTATGGCTGAAAGGCAGCAGTAGAAGGAGCCAAGGAGTAGCAGTAAAAAGGCTTCAGAAAGAGTCAGCATGAGGAGCCCAGCGGAGAGCAAAAGGAGGTGAGGGGGTGGGGGCAGAAAGTTCAGACGTCTGCCCTTTTTGACATGTTGATTATTACCCAAGACAGCATCTCCATTAACCGTTTGTCTTATACTCATGGGACAGGTCATATATTCGTTGACACCAGGTGTACCTCTTTAAATAAAATAATGGCAGCACCAGGCGGGATACCTCGTATTTTTGTCATAGATCTTGTTATGATATTTATTTCAAAATCAACTAAAGGCGGGATCAAAACCAAAGGGGCCATCATTTTCACAACGCTCATACAATTTGAGGCTCTAAACATGTCAATCACATAATTTACAGAAACAAATTAATACATTAAATTTAGATCTAATATATAATTTTTTATAGTGATATATATTTAAAGCATACGCTAACATTGTTGACTGAGAGGGGAAAAGCAAGCAAACAAACAACCCCCAACCTAAAAAAAACCCCACAAACAAAAAAAAGAAACACAAAAAAACAATAACCCCAAACCCCACAAACAAATTAAATATTGAAATCTAGATCTCCCTATACATTAAAAATTCGTAATAAATTTGACGAATTTTATGTGATTTTGTTCACCCACGAAGGATTAGAGTTATCTGTTTCCGGGTCACAGCCTCTGTGGGCCTCTCGCAGGAAAATCACGGGGAGTGGGGAGAGCCGAAGAGGAAATCAGTGCTGGCGGGTGAGACACACCGACAGGTATGATGAGCAAAAAGACAGACTCTTTACTTGTTAAAAGTAAATGTTTTCTTTACGCGTGTTAGAGTTTTTGTTCACTTGATTTGGTGGAGTGTGAATTGCTGGTGCAAAGCCTACGGCTCGGCGGTGCAGTATTGCATTGCTGTGGTGACTGTAAATGGGTGTATTTTTAAAGCTGAATCGGGAATGAGAGTTCAATGAGATAATGAGAATTAGGAATTGTCTGCTAGATTCTAGAAGAGATCCAAATCTAGAATCTATTAGATCTAGATTCTAGATCTCTACTCTAGATCTAGATCTAGAATCTAGATTAGATCTAGACGTAGAATCTAGTAAGAAGCCGAGATTGACTAAACTAAGACTTATGGTGCGAGCTTCCAGGTTTTGTTTTTAATTATGCTTTTATTCGAAAATATGCAAAGATCTAATCTAGACTAGATTCTAGATCTAGATCTAGATCTAGCTTTTTCGGTAGTTCCCACCGCGCAATTATAAAAAATAATTGTTATTTACGGGTTTTGGTCCCAAGAATATGGGCCCCCCTGAAATTTACCACAATTTAATGTTTTGCAGTTGTGTTGTTAGGTTCGATATCTCAGCTTGCTGCGAATCAAATATATAGATCTATATCTAGATCTAGATGTAGATCTAGGTCGGGCTCAAATAAGGGGGATGGGAACTACCGAAAAAGCACCGGACATAGATTAGATCTATAGAAAGAAAAAAAATTGAGTTGGCACACACACACTCCTTCCTTTATAAATAAAGTCTGTGGCTGTGCATGCGGCCCTCCTGTACTCGCATAGCCTCATCAGCTATCATGCATATGGCCATCCCTCCCGTACGGCCCTTAGATTTAGATATATATATAAAAGTATGCTCTCGGCCTTGATAATCGCTCAGCTGGACCGCGTCACTTTATCGATCGATATCTTGGCCAAGACAAAGATCGTATAACAAGATAGTTCGCTCCTCTATAATTGAGCCAATTAAAAAAAAGTGTCCTCAATATTCGGTGGCGCCGTCTTCGAAAAAGTGCAGATTTTGCGATCAGAGTTACCCTACTTGTGTGAAAATATACAATAAAAGTGAAATTAACAAACAAACTGTGCTATTCCTATTCTTCTTCTGGTGAAACGGAAGAGAGCTTCAAAACAAAGACTGCAACGTCATCTGAACCAGTGTGCAGACTTCCGCGGACACCTTTTTGGCTGAGTGAACTATTTTGTTATGTACGATCTTTTGCCAAGAGATGCTCTACGAGGACAAGATAACTTGCAAAGTCATTGGTCACTATTTATAACTTTGACCTGTAATTTACTACGTCATTTTCTATAAGGAATCCTGAAATTTTCCATTGAAAAAAGGTCAGCGTCTCTATACCCTGTAGCTGCGCACTTCTCAATCGTAGTAGGTCATCCTGCGCGCTTCCCGGGTAGCCCGGTTCATGCCCTTTATAAAGGGCCTGGGCGCTTACAGGGTTTAAGTTTGTCCACTTGTAGAGTCCGGTTTGATAGTTTATGTGCAAAGCCTAGCTTTTTATGTGAAGTGGAGGCCATACGCATAGCCACTTCGATAAATAAAATATAAATAAAGGACTTTCTTAACGAGCGACCAAGCCCAACAAAAACAGGGACTAGTCGAGTTGTGATGTCCCGGCCCAGGGGGTAGCCATTAAGGCAAAATCAGTCAGGGAATCTCCAGATGGGGTGCTTTTTCTGCGGTTTTGGCCCCCGAGAGTTGGGCCCCCCTGACCTAATAAAAATATAGAGGGGGAGGGGCCCCCTGAATTTTATCATAATTTGATGTTTTGCAGTTAAGTTTGATATCTCCCGCTCGCCGAGCATCAAACATAGCCTATAAAACATCTAGATCTAGATCAAGGCTCAAATAAGTGGGATGGGAACTGCCGAAAATGTGCCCAATATGGAGATTCCCTAACTGATTTTGCCTAAATGAAAATGGCCACCCCCTGAGCTGGGACATCACAACTTGACTAGTGCCCCAAAATGCAATATAGAAGAGACTTTACCCTAACCCTGAACCCTGGCCTAACCCCTACTACTACCTCAAACCCTACTCCCAGGCGCGGTTCGTCCATAGAGCACGGTCATGCAGTGCTGCCCAAAATGTTTTAATATTCTATTACGTAAAGCCCCCACCAACATAAAATAAAAAAAGCAAGAAACAAACAGTAGCCAAATATTATATCAAAACAAGGTCCTCGCTGGCGCCGTAACTGTCATTTCTGTGTCTATATCGCCGTAAAACATCTACTATGCCATGCCAAACTCTACATGTTTTAACTGAACACAAATAGGATTTTCAACAGTGGTAACCTGACCTATAAATCGCTCTCTGTGATAACCCAAGCGATGACGACACTCGTAGCGAGTTTGGCGGTACATTGATATTAATAAGCCGGCACATCTCAAATGTGCTCCTGCCGAATAGTGCCGAAAATAGCCCACAGTAGGCAGTCTAAAAATAAACGCGATAGACCGTACGTTATTCAGTGCCAAAAGTATGTGAGCCTCGGAGCAATCCAGCGGAGTTCTCAAGTGAATTGTGATTGGTTCATCGTCTTGCCGCTATTTTAAGCAACTCTGACCGTAAACCTAAAGGAGGTGAACGTGATCACTGTCCCTATGGGTTGTGCCTTTGAATGGTTTTGTAGTGGAGTGGTGAAAGTTATTACTGGAGTGTTCAGTTCTAATGCAGGATGAACGAATTTGACGTTTAGCTAACAAACAGATTTAGTTCTAGAAATCAAAGCGACAAGTAAAAAGAATTAAAATAAAGCAAAAGGTTCTCCTACACCATCCCAAAGATCCTAAAATTATACACCATCCTATTTACTATGCCCTTGATTATCTTCAGCCTAAGATAGCTTAATTGTGCACATCCACTTTTTAGCCCCACGAGCCGCCCCTGCCTGCTCCATACCCCTAACCCCAACCCTCTATTCTACTTTGTTTCATAGTGGTCGCTCGTTGCGGAATTCCTCCCCCTTAAATTATAGGCTGCGACTATTCGGACTCGAGTCTGAATAGCCTCTCGTGGCTCCCAATGTGCGTGCGTAATCACCGGGTATGAAGCGGACAGGCAATTCGAACTTGGCCTTCTTCGGTTTCTACGATCTGGCTACATTTTTCAGCACAAATTAAGAACACGTAGATCTAGCCTATTAGTGACGTAAAAAGTGAACAACAAATACAAAATCTGAAATGCTGCACGACAAAGGCGAACGGGGAAAGGCAATCTGAGCTCAAAGGAGTGAAAAAAAATTGAAAATAAAAGTTTCAGAACAACAAAAGAGTATAAATTAGATATCAATAGGGGGGCTCTCGTGGCCTAGCGGTTAAGGTGTTGGCCTCTCATTCCAAGTTCCCGGGTTGGAATCCGGGTAGCGACAGAAACATTTTCTTCTCTAAGTTTGTCTCCTTTCACCTCATTTCCTGCTCTCTAGCAATGTTCTGTCGTCTGCTTTCATCTCCTCTTTCTGCCCCCACCACCTCACCTCCTTTGCCTCTTCCTCTGGGCTCCTGATTCTTTCTGCAGCCTTTCTACTGCTACTCCTTGGCTTCTTCTTACTGCTGTCTTTCAGCCACACCCCTGATCTTCTGGTAGGAAAGATCTACACATAGCTTTCTCGGACAAGGGCGAAAAATCTCGGAGGGCCTGTGTGCAAGTTGCGTACGTTAAAGATCCCTTGGTGGTCTAAAATCGATAAGAGTAGGCTTCGGCCGCCACCCGGGCAAAATTCAAAATTTCCTACCAACTGAAAATATTAGGTGTGTCCCGCGCGCTCATATGATCTTATGCAGTTGCGAGCGCCGTAAAATACTTTACAAAAACAAACAAAAGATATCAATAGGTAGTCTAAACCTGCTTTATTTGATGATAAAGAATACTGTAAAGACGATAAAGAAAATCATTGATCAATTGGAAATCCAGTGAGAAAATAGAAATTATGACGAGAAAAGTTAAAACCCTTCCGAAGGGCACAAAAATCAGTCAAACCCCACTGGGCGACAGGGTTGGGTTGATATGATTTAAATCAGTTGATTTTTAAAATTTAAATCAACTTGATTTTTTAAACAAAAATCAGTGATTTAAATCACTTTTTAAAAAATTTATTTTTATTCAGTTTTTACATATTTCAACGTTCAGAATTCCTATCCTTGGTTTCATAAAACAGATATAAGGTTTAGTAGACTAATATAATCAGGCAAGTCTGCTTTTCCCCCTTTCACTGTAAAATTAAAATAATACAGTATTCAAATTTTTTTTTTTCCATAATTGAAATCAGAGCTGGGTTGATTTAAATCAATTGATTTTTTTAATTTTTTTATCAACTTGATTTTTAAAATAAAAATCTATGATTTAAATCACTTTTAAAAAAATGTATTCAGTTTTTACATATTTAAACATTCAGAATTCCTTTCCTTGGTTTTATTAAACAGATATAAGGTTTAGTAGACTAATATAATCATGCTTAAAAGTCTGCTTTCCCCCCTGTCACTGTAAAATAATACAGTATTCAATTTACTTTTTTTTTCATAATTGAAATCAGGGTTGGGTTGATTTAAATCAGGTCGATTTAAATCAGTTGATATTTAAAAATTTAAATCAACTTGATTTTAAAAATAAAACTCAGTGATTTAAATCACTTTAAAAAAATGTATTCTGTTTTTACATCTTTAAGCATTCAGAATTCCTTTCCTTGGTTTTATAAAACAGATATAAGGTTTAGTAGACTAATATAATCATTCTTAAAAGTCTGCTTTCCCCCCTGTCACTGTAAAATAATACAGTATTCAATTTACTTTTTTTTTCATAATTGAAATCAGGGTTGGGTTGATTTAAATCAGGTCGATTTAAATCAGTTGATATTTTAAAATTTAAATCAACTTGATTTTGAAAATAAAACTCAGTGATTTAAATCACTTTAAAAAAATGTATTCTGTTTTTACATCTTTAAGCATTCAGAATTCCTTTCCTTGGTTTTATAAAACAGATATAAGGTTTAGTAGACTAATATAATCATTCTTAAAAGTCTGCTTTCCCCCCTGTCACTGTAAAATAATACAGTATTCAATTTACTTTTTTTTCATAATTAAAATTAGCATTTTCTTTTTCTTTTTAGACAAACACAAGCGCGCACGCACGCACTGTAATAAAATGCAAGTTTATCTATGCATAATTAACCCCCCCCACCCGTCTTCCTTTTAGATTGACATTTCCTTCATTTTTTGTCTGTAGCCATAATTCACTGATATAGCAGATTAAGGCTTTCTTATGCAGTTGCTTAAATTAATCATTAGTTAAAATAAAGACAAGGCATTTTGCACTAAAAGAACATACTTTTAGCAACCAAAGATCCTAAACTGTGTCGACTTTAAAAAATAAATAATTTTAAAATAAAAAAATCCGATTTAAATAAAAAATCTGATTTAAATTTAAAAAATCGATTTTTAAAATTTTTATTTTAAAAATATAAAAAATCACTGACTGAAGTGTCTTTAGGCCATTCCCAAAGGGGGGACATTAACTTGTTCTTATGCTCAGTAGAATTGTAAATGGGCTGATTCAACAATGTCATGCTCTTAACTGTGCCTGAACTGCAACAGGGAACTGCTGCTTTTTCTTTTCCTAAACCTTACTATCGTCATTTCTCCTCTTCTTCTTTTGTATGTTTATCACACTCTTGTGACCCGCTATTTCCGGGGTGCCTTGGTAGTCGAAGCAGACTTTGTGCTGTTGAGGCTAGAGAGGTAGCTGAGTAAGTCTGATTCCCTGTAAGGACTTCTTTGATGACATCCACCCCTTGGCGTTCATATGACCTTATGCAGTTGCGAACGCCGTAAAACCTCTACTAAAACTAAGAAGTCAGTCATTCAAAGTAACAGTGGTCTAAAAGAAAAGCTTTTCCACAGTAGCCCTATACTTTAATACATGATGTTCAAATAAAATCAGGACAAAACTGCATATTCCGATAAAGTTAGACAAGCAACAATCCTGTTTACAGTAGGCCTACCGTATAATTGCGGTTTGAGTCCGAATAGCCACGGGAGGCTATTCAGACTCCAGTACGAATAGCCACTTCGCAAATTATAACCTACAATCACAAGAGCAATCAGGGGGATGTGGTTTTTGTTTTATTAGTGTCAGCTCAATTGGGATAAAACTTAATTTTAAAAACTCAATTCTTCAGAATGAGTTATAGATCTGGATCTAGATCTAGATATTTTTATCCTATCCTTAAGAGGTATGTCAAATTAATTCTAATAGTAATACTGTCAAAGTTGGCAAGTTTAAAATAGAATTGACAAAGATAAATGGGTGCCTGTTTAGTTGACGGTCTAACAAGATGTTTCTGGTTTACTTGGTCTACCAGCGGACCAGTCTGACAGCTGGTTTAGTTGACGATCTATCTCATCTTACAAGTATTCTATTTGACAGGTTACTTATTTATACAAGTCGGAATTCTGACAAAGATCAATTTACATTTTCCGTCTGCTTTTATACAGGCTTAGGAGTGTCGTTGGCCTATGTTTTTTGGTTTTTGCAGTTGGGGGGCAATTTCTTGAAAATAGTCCCATCTGGTCACTTGCTGTTGTAGGCCCTACATGTGTCAATCATAATCTCTACCCCAGAAAAATTCTTTGATCTGAAGAACACCCACCCATACACGCCAATCTTTGCTAATTTATGCTCCCAGTGCTGTTGTTACTGTGTCAATCAGGTAGGATTGCCATAGTAGGCCATCAGTTAAAAAGGCAAAGATAAACTTCTGTCCATATCAGTACATGTTTGTACAGTTCACTAATATTAGGGATCTGATTTCGTAAAGTTTTGACAAGGGTACAAGTCAGTATAAGAAGAGATTGGGATAGTTTTTCTAACTGCAATGTTTATTTTTGTGTTTACAAGTAGTTCTATTTAAAACTTTTTCCAATGTGTACCCATTGTCCATACCCATACCGAAAACTTTTTATCGGCTGGGCAAAATCAAGTAGACATAGTTTTTCAAGGAAATAGATAGATTGATCTTCTTCATCTGCTGGATTGCATCACACTTGAAATCCTGTATCTTTCATTATACCAAGCCGTCCTACTCAGTTTTTCTGTTGTCCCATATAGTGTCTCCTCAAGTGTTAATGGGGTTGGCCACGTTTCCTGTTCCAGGGCTCAGTGTGTCCTGCACTGTTGGAGGTTATGTTTCACAGTTTCGTCGGCTTCTCCACACTAGCTTTTTAGTAACTGCACAATAAAAAAAGATGGCCACCCACTGTCGAAGAGAAAAGTATTCATCTTAGACAGGTCTTACCCAGTGCTCAGACAGGTCTTACTCAGTGCTATTATAACATTAAAAAAACAGGAGGGGGAAATAGGAAGTTGCTGTTTGTACAGGTGATTGATGATTGTCATGTACAGGTGGCTGTTAAAGTAAGTGTGACTGTACACTAGTTTAAAGCATTTGAGATAATTAAATAAAACTTTCTTTTTAAACATGCAGCAATGCATTGTCCCATAATAAATAGACAAACCTCAGCAAATGCCAGTGTTGCTCAGACTCCACCTAACAATGCAAATTGGTTGGATGAGGCTGTTTATTTTAGTCTTCAAAAGTAACAAACCAAAATGAGATGGTCCTGGAAGGGATCGTGTGACTAATCCTGTCATAGATTGGGGGGGGGGGGAATACAGTCAAAATTAATGAGAAAGAAAAGAATGGAAAAACAATCTTCTATTTCATATTATACTGATACCCACCTCAACCCTGCCTTCTGCCTGGTACCAGTCTGATTGAAATCATAACTTTGTTCATTTTGCTTTCTCTTTCAGGAAGATGGATTTCCTTCCTTTCTTCCTTGGCTATGTGGGAATATTTGGAATTGTGGCTGTCCTTGTTTTGTTTGCAAACTCCACTCCCTATTTTTCCAGTGTTTCGGACCGCATTAAACAGATAATAATAAGGGTAAGCTTTCTGTTGAAATCGTACTTTGTAGTAATTTTTGCAGTTGTATATACTATAAGCATTTGCTTCAAAGAACTTACTGGGAGAGATAACATGCTGACGATATTATTATTGCTCAATTGTTGGTTCTGATAAACTCTACTTGTTCCTGAATGTTTGGAACTGAGTTCTAATTCCTTTAAGGTTGAGTCATATTAGAGTTAAATGGTATGTTTAATGCATGGATAGGAGGTGTAAGAGCACCGTATGTATTATTGCTTGACCACTAACAACTGAAAGTTGTGTTTGTCCGTCTAGATTTCTCGTCACCATTTGTTTTGCTACTAACGACTGAAATCTGTAGATGTTGCACTTTTGTGGTACAAAATAATGTAGCTGAAATATTTAACCTTTCAGAAGGTCAAAATCAAGGCAATTAAAAAAGCTTGCAGCATAATAACGCTTTTAAGTGTATTTTTTCCATAGTCATCATTGATATATTTGTGTGGCATTGTGGTGAAATCAGGTGGTCGTCAAAATAGTGAAATTAAAGAAACTGAACTGGCATCTGTGGTGTAGTGGTTAGGTGCTTCACTGTCGCACACAGGAGTGAGTGGGGAGAATTTTTATCGAGAGTCTCGGTTTTTCCGCTGGGATGTTTTTATACCTCTCAGCCTAGGTTGGCCCTGACAGTCAGGGTCGGAAACCCACCTCTTAAATTATCTAAATTGTGTGGATGTGGGCGTAAAAAGATTTGCATTTTTAAAAAAAAGCTTTTTTGGGGGGGCGGGGAAGAGATGGAACACCTTTTGTATACACTTAAAAACACTTTTCTGTGTAGATTTTATGGAAAAAGACATTGATCAAATGCAAAGATAAAGAAAATTTCCTGTTTCCAAGGACACTCAAGCTTCGGAAATCACCAGACTCTGGCGACCATTTTCTCACTAAATTTAACTCTGACACCAAGCCACCCCCACCTCCTTCAATCACAAAAATCTTGACTTTTGTTCAAAATAAATGAACGTTTTATACATCAAAAGCAAATCAAATGAACAAGCTTAAAATTATACCAGTAACTCTTATTTGCCAAAAAATTGATGAGTGCCTGCTGATTCTATCTTGTTGTGACAAATTTGGTGCCTTTTCTTATTTGAATGTTCAAAATAATACATTGTTGTATCCAAAGTTTATCTTTACCCTTTGAGCCCAAGTTACCGGTATACCAGTGGCATGTAAAATTGCCCGTATGCCTAGGCATTTGTACAGCGGTGAGCGATACCCTATGCCAAACCAGGCCTGTCTGGGACAAAATGCGCACAGGAAGCCCTGTTTACTACACAGGACAAGTACACTGTCATGCTATTAAAGAAAGGAATCCTCCAGAGATGTAAGAATTGCTGAGGCATAATGTTAAACCCCAAAAAATGTTGAGTTGTTTTCTGCAGTATAGACGTAGACTAAAAAGAGGGGTAAATGGATAGCTCAGAGACGAACAAGCTGAATTTAGGAAAGGCAGACCATCCACTGGACCATCAATGAATAAGATAAAAAAAGGATTCTGGCTTTGGAAATGAAATGTTATAGCCAAACTCTAAGAATATCCTAGAGACAGAATGGGATGAAAGCCCATTTTGATTAGCCTTACGGCAGTCCTAAGCCTGTAACCACCTCCGGTTGGGACCTCAGAAGGGAATGGTTTGTTTTCTTTATTTTCGCCTGTCCTTCCTAAGACGACCACCTGTCTTAGACGGCCACTTTTCTCCTAGACAATGTGTGGCTGTCTTACGCAGGTTTGACTGCACTAAGACAAATTGGTATAGAAACAGCAACACTCCTACTCCTATAGACCATAATGAACAATTTAAGGCATATCAAATGCTGTAATTCACTCAACAAACATGTTCTGAAAGCAAAAGTAGAAAGCAAGAGAGGAAGGGGGAGACTGAACAGAAGATAGAAACAGGACCTAGAAAGCTGGCTTAGAACCAAAACAACTCAGGCTGGCAGAATGGCAAGCGACAGTGTTTTATTGCAGAAAAGTCAGAACTAAAGTTAGACTACTGGAAAAGCTATGAAGAAGAAGACCATCTACTGACCAAAATGCAGCCATTACGATCAAATTGATCCTTAAGCAGCACTTATCTCTGCGTGTACTTTGAGGAAGGGTTCAACAACCTGAACAAGGAACCAATGTGGAAAGTCATGTTCCGCTATGGGTTCTCAGAGAAATTTGTTACTATGATTGAGGAGATGTATGATGGGATAAAAGCTGCAGAGTTCTTAGTAAAGGACAACTAACAGACTCATTTGAGGCATAAACAGGAGTTTGGAATAGTTGTCTGCCATCTCCTTTACTTTTCCAAACTGAGTTGAAATTGGAGGATTAGACGGACCAATTTGAATTGTCGTATTGGGATTCAAAGGACCTAGCAAGTCCATAGGAGGATCTGGCTTTTACTGACAATTCAGCACTTTTCTCTCACAGCCATAACCATGTGCCCAGGTAGGTACACATAACTTCAACAACATGGCATGCTGTGCTGGACTTCGTAGACACAGTGATAAAACCAAAAGGTCTCAATAAAATCGAAGTTCCCGGGAAAACTTCACAAAAATAATTTCTGTTACTCTTCAAGAGACACCTCTAGAGAATGTAGAACATTTCACTGTCACTGAGTGTCATCAACTTGCAAGGTAGAACGTATGAAGATGTCATAATGAGGTTTGAGAGGGTGGGGCCTTTGTGTGCAAAGGCAGAGAAGCCAAAAATAGGAAATATGCTGAGGCTCTTCTGAAGCAATATGAAACCTCTTCTTTTGTATGGAACAGATAACTGGAGACTAATTAAAACTTCTGAGAGGAAGTTCCAAACCTACAATAGATGTCGGAGATGGCCTGATTTATCACCACTGAGGAACTGTCAAGGCAAACGTAAGAGGAGGGAAAGGAAGGGTGAAAAGAATATGAAGACATTGCAGAGAAAGTGGAGGCGGGTGCATATGTACTGGACAAAAAGGTAGAAAGATGTAATCCATAGCCAGCTTTGGAGAGAAATTATAATTGGCCTGTACTCCTTAAGAAGTTAGAGAGAGATTCTACTGTCCTGATGTTAATCCTGTCTGAAGTATTTTGTTCCTTTTGCATTAGCTTCTGTTGTTATAATTTGTACTCTTTTCTTCAAAGTTTGTTGTATATATTATATATATCTAAAATTTATTAAAGTCTGTTGATGTGTTTATAGGTAACTGTTTCAACAAAATATTCTTCAACTTAATTTTTTTCCCTTGTCACATTTCAGACTGTTCACAAAGTGGTCCCCACCTTCATTATAAATCTTGTTAAAGACATAGTTCACTATGTTTTTAATACAAGGTGAGGCTCTACTTTGATTTCTCTCATGAGCAAATATGCATTACTGGACTAGTCACTTGAGTAGCCTCAAGAAATTTCTAGAATTTGGAATTGCCAGTCATTACATCAGTTTGTATTGCACTATCCTCCATTAGAAACGGGTGGAATCTTACCTGGTGGATATACCAATAGAAAAAGTCATGAAGAATGGCCATCAGAGCTTTTATTTTCGTTAGTAGTAATTGAGGACTGATAGTAATTTAAACCACAGCACCCACATATTGGGGGGGGGGGGGGGGGGGGTGCAATTTACTTATATGCAAAATGAGTATTTGCTGAAACACTCTTAAAATATCATAAATATCAAATTTTGATGTTGTAAATGTTATGAAGATGAGATACCAAATTTGCAAGTTATGAAGATATTTCATTTCTATTCATATTCTTTTGTTATTTCTTGAATTCATTTTGTAGATATCAAATTACGCTTGGAAATTCTGCAGCCAATTTCTATTTTTGTTTCTCCAGGAACCATGTGATGCAGTTTATGTTTGGGATACTGGTGGTTGGGGGCAATGTGATCCTCATGATGGACGTTATGCCACTGCTGTACATTTTTGAGCCAGAGGAGAACCACATGTTTCTCCCCATGGTTTTTCTCTTTGTTAACTTGGCTGCGTTTCACTTGAGCTGTGCGACGGACCCAGGGCACATCACTTCAAGCAATGTTGCCATGCTAGCCTCCCTTTACAAGGCTGATGGGATTATGTTCAAAGCTGGTTCACAATGTAGCACCTGCAAGCTGGCCAAGCCTGCTCGGTCTAAGCACTGTAGTGAGTTTAATTTTGTATTCTGGTGTATTTTTTTCCTGTAACATCTTACTGAGTAATATAGCACTAATAGCTTGAGGAAAGTTATACTGTGTGTGAATCTGACGATTTCTTTCTCATACTGTACTGTATGTCTGTTTGCTCTATTTTGAAGCATTGAGCCCTGCTCGGTCCCTCTGCTATTGCCTGTGCCAAAAGATTTATTGTTTCTAAAAATATTTGTATGGTAGAAATTGTCAACAAAAAGCAGTGGAAAATTTTATTTAAAAAGTCATTTCATTACAGTACTTTTGACAGGCCATCACATTTGAATTCAGTTCTTGAAACAGATTCTCATATAAAAATATGTAGGAGGGTCCAAAATGACAAAGATTTTGAAAGGTAATGCTTGCCAGGCATAATTTTTTTTTCCATAAATCATAAACAATTGCACAAGTATTTTATACAGTAACAAAATTCAGTACAATGTAATTCAAAAGATAGGACATGAGGTTAAGGTTTAGTCAGTTGAGCCAAACAATAATTGATTACCCCCCCGACCCCCAGGGGGTGCCACTGACTGAAGTGTCTCTAGGCCATTCCCAAAGGGGGGACATTTTTCGTTCTATTGCACAGTAGAATTGTAAATGGGCTGATCCAACAATGTCATGCTCATAACTGTGCCTGAACTACAACTGGAAACTGCTGCTTTTTCTTTTCTGATCCTTACTATCGTCATTTTCCTCTACTTCTTTTGTATGTTTTGCCACACTCTTGTGACCCGCTTTTTCCGGGGTGCCTTGAAAGTTGAAGCAGACTTTGTACTGATGAAGCTTGAGAGGTGAGCAGAGTAAGTCTGATTCCCTGTAAGGACTTTTCTGTTGACATCCACCCCTTGGCGCTCATATGACCATATGCAGTTGCGAGCACTGTAAAACCTCTACTAAAACAAACAAAAAAATTGATTAAAGCATGGACAGGATTGTTCTCACAGGTTTTCATAGAATTTTATTCCCTATGAATTTAATGAGTTTTGTTATTGTCTTTGTCTCTATAGTAAATTTGATCTGAACAACATGCATGGTTTGAAATTTTCAGTGCCAAAAAGTATGAATTGTACTCATATCAATTCAGTTTTAGACATGAACAAGATGTCCTTATTGTTAGAACTGCAGCTGCCAACCAGTACACATAATATACTTTTAATGTGTTTCTGAGGGTCTGAATACGGAAGTCTATTTTTGTATCTCTGAAAATAGTATTCACTGTTTTATACTATATTGCTTCTCGCTTCTCAAAGACTTGCCAGTACTGAAGAAAAATCGAGAACTTTCACAACAGAATTTGTGAATAATAATGGGACTGAAGCATTTTGTCATTGCGGAGACCTTTACTGAAAATTTCTGACCTTATTGTCGCAGGTCTGCTTTCAATAGCTTGAATTTATGGAATGAAGAAAAGTGTGTATGAAAGGTTTGGAGGGAAGTTACTTGTCCAATACCTATCATCTTGACCTGCTGCTTATGTAGAGTCAGGGGTTTTTTGTTGCTGGAAAGTTGGTTGCTATGATTAGAAGGAAAGGTGCGGGGTGTTGGAGGGTACTGGTGATGGGTCCTACTTTCTTGTGTGTTCATGTGTGTGTCCATTCATCTTTTAATACTCTTTCATCAGTATTGTGTTTATGTGCTATTCTGTAATCCAGAGAACTAAGAGTGGGTGGTTGGTGGGTGCTCTTGTATGGTTTGCTTCTTCTTTTCTATCAAACATCTATTATCTTTATCTCCCCTCCTTCTTTTTTTGTGTTTGTTACTCTCTTGTAACACCTCTAATCTTCGGCACTTATATGACCTTATTGTGTTGCAAGTGCTGTAAAACAGCTACTAAAACAAGAGAACTAGAAGTTATAACTGAGGGAACCATTGGCTCTCTCTCCTGTTGTAGTTGCAATAACTAGAATAATTATTCGGTTTTATCATTTTTTACATGTCATCCTCTAATACTGTGACAGCTTGTCTGAGAACATCTTTATCAAACACGAAGTAACTTTTTAAATGGCTTCATTTTTCAGGTATTTGCAACAGATGTGTTCACCGTTTTGACCACCACTGCATATGGACCAACAACTGTGTGGGTGCTGGTAACCTGCGCTGGTTCTTTGGCTTCCTGTGGACTCTGGTGGTCATGGTGGTGAACGGTGCTGTGATGGGGACCCGGGCCATGATGCTCATGGTGCAGCATCTCAAGATCATGGACTCAGGATATGTGGATCCTAGTACTGGGAATGTCTTGCCTGTTACTATTCCAGTTATGATTCAGGTAGGTCATTTTTTCACTCTTGTTTGAAATTTCTAGGTAGACTGAAGAGTGTCTGACGAGGGTTGATCTACGATTACAAATGTTTTTGAAAAACTGTATACATCTTCCTGAATGACAAGAAGCACACTTCTCATGTTACAAGCTATTTGTCCTTTAGACTAAAACACATCAAAATGACTAACCATCTGGTGTAAATGGTAAAATTATAAAGCAGTAACTGCAGTTAAAAATTTTCATTCTAAGGCTTTTTAGTGACATATTGTTGGTTTCTTACATGCAAGATGTAACAGTGCAAGATGAAATGAATAGTAGACCTACCTGTGATCAAAGGGTTGTACCAAACAAAATAGTTTGACTTTCGACAAAGTTATTATCTTTCTTAAGATTAGAACTCTCTTGGTCCAGTTAATTTCATTTTCCACCGTCGAGACTTATTGACGCAATGATTTTTCAGCTTAGTAGGGCTCTTTGGTGTCACAGCTACTTATAGACTGCTGTTGGAAAAGATGTAGCAGCAAAGTATGTCTTTTTTTTCTCAGTCTTTGAATGGGGAGTAAGGAACTCCAACAGCCCTGTAGATTTGGTTATTTGTTCTATCAGAAAATATCATGAAAAATTATTACAGTGGTTTGTTTTAATTTCAGCATCTGTTTATGCAGCACCCTCGCTGTGTTTTCCTGATCTCATCGCTGTTCATGCTGACTGTGCTGTTGGGATTGTTCACTCTGTATCACACATATCTTTTGCTCAACAACCAGACTACGAATGAACGCTACAAAATTGCTGATTTGCCTGTTGTCAAACTCGGTGGTCACCCGCAGGATGAGGCCTCTCATAAAGAATCAACGAGTCCAGGAAGTTCTGAAAATAAGCAACAGAGAGACAAGAATGGTCGACATCTCTCTGGTCAAGATCAAAAAAAGAATTCTAAATCCAGCAGAAAGCAAGCATCATCACCGAAGTCGGGAGAAAACAGAAAAGTAGAAAATAATACTGCTGTTAGAGGGCATAAATGTGATGAGAAAGATGTAAGTTCTTTTTATAACAAAGGGCTGTATCAAAATATATGTGAAGTTCTCTTTCCTTGGTCTGATTTAGCTGAAATGCAGGAAGTCGCTCCACAAAATGTTCAGTCGACCGATTCTATCCACAAACGAAAGAAACGTTGAAGGTTTGTGGACCAAAAGTTTTGGTTTTGATCGGGGATTCTTACTGTTTCCTTCACAAAGTTCATGCTTTGGTATGTCACCAGCAGGGCGGAGGTTGGGGGCACAGACTGCTTCTGCTATATTATTATATACTGCTGTGTTGAAAGGTGAAGGTGAGATACTTGTTGCTCTCCTTGCTCCGAATCACGCCTTTAGCATTGAACAAACAGATGTCTTGATCTGTACAGTTTGAAGCTTTTCAGGTGCTTCTTGTCAACTACCTTAGGTCCTAGTCATGGTTTAGTTGGTGTGTGATTCTCTTTGACTCTAGTCTTTGAGGTGCCAGCAGCATTTTATTGGCGTTGTTTTTTTTTGGGTAAAAAATAGTAGACAGAAAGATGTTGTCAGACTGGTGTTGTGCGTAGAAGACTAATATACATATATATATATATAAATATCCCATCCTGTTGATCCTTGTATATATAGAGATAATGTATAGTTGAGTGTTTCTGCACATGGTAGTCAGATCAAGTATTGCCTGTGATGTTTTGTAAAAATACATTTGATGATGTGAACAATGGTTTTTCATCGCTCAATTATTGCATTTACTTTGTTTGAATAGTTCAGATTTTCATTTGGCTACAACCATAGCAGGTTCTGTGGAGCTGTTGCAAAGGTATAATGTGTTATCTGTGATGGAATGATGGTGTAAATTATGACGACCTGGAGTTTACTCACAAAATGAACTCTTTAGGAGGTAATTTAATGACCATTTGTGGCTAGACTATGATATTTGATGTTATGCTTCGTCTAAGTTTGGGCTGTAAAAATCCTGCATAGTATGATTGAAATTGTCGTCAATGACTTTAATTAGTTGCAGTTGTTACTTTCTAAGAAAGGGAGGGATTTTTTTTCTGGTTAGAATTCATGATTTGTGTTGGAATACTTTTTGTATGTTATTGTTATTACTGATCACATTTGTCAACTGTACTGAAAAGCAATAGTTCTACCACAAGAGTATTGGAATTCCAATGTTTACATTGCTGTGTACGGTTTTGTTTCATGCCTTTATCTATGTACTCATTGTCCCCTTCATACGTGTATGTCAGTGTGGCGATGGACCTGCCAGTAGTTGCCTGCTGGTTTAAATTGATTAATTAGATGAGAAATGACCATGTAGTTAAAAGTTTATAGTAGCAATTATACAGAATATTTTGTGTGTAATGATAATGGTAACGATGGTGGTTTTCAGTAAAACGTTACTTCTTTTCTGGACTGTTTCCATTTACCATTCCATAAATCCAGTTGTTTTCTATGACTATTGTTTTTACCTTTTTGTTCTTTAAACCCTCTCAGTTCCTTATACTTCTTTCGCATTGTTCTATCAACCAAATGGGTTGTTTAGTTAGTTCTGATTTTCACTATTGTTTTTTGGAATGCTCTTTCAGTTTTTAATATGATGCCACTTATTTGCAATGAATCTGTGTTTACTAACATTTTTCGAGCTCTACTTTTCTGAGAATAGCACTTGGTTTGAAATTTTTACGAAAAAAAAAGTGTGTGTCAGCATCAGCTGTACCACCATTTTCTAGCTGTAGATGCTGTGTTAGCCTGTCATGACACCAAAAGATTTGCGGACTAAAAGTTAGTCTAAAAAGAATTTTCCATTGTAAGTAAAGTGTTATTGTAAGGAGATGTTAGTTCAAATTTGCTTTGCTTTTTTATGTGTGTGTGTGTGTGTGAGAGAGAGAGAGAGAGAGAGAGAGAGAGAGAGAGAGAGAGAGAGAGAGAGGGAGGGAGGGAGGGAGGGAGAGAGAGAGAGAGAGAGATTACTGTGGTTTCAAAAGTTTAAATGTATTTTGAAGAGTAGACCTACACGTGCTAGATTTTTTTTTTCTCTCATTTATCTATCCGTGACATACATTTAAATTTCGGCATAGCATGAAATCAGCTTAAAGTAACAGATGTCATTCACCTGGAAGTTTTCTACATTATGTTTATGTGTTTATTATGTTTTGATCTTCATTGAACATGGCATTATTCTTTGTAGGTAGGCCTACCTCACAGGCAGTATTGGTGTGAGTGTAAATATATTTCTCAACTTCTGAACACATTCCATTGTTTACTATTATGTGTTCTTATGCACTGACGAACAATTTGATGAGATGGAACCTGCACTTGTGTCCGTGAAATTTGAACCTGCCATAATTTATTGCTTTGAGTTTATCAGGGTTTTGGGTTTTTTGTTTGTTTTCCCATCGATAGCCACCATTTAAACAAAACACCAAGTGATTTTGAGATTCCTATTTTGGGTACAAACTCCCTAAAATTTGAACCACTAATTACAGTCATGTTTTGAATGTGAAAGGTGAAAGACTAGTTCTAAATTTAGCATGGAAAATGGTACTTTTTAGTGTGTTTTGCAATGTGTTGTTATGCAATGTTTGATAAGGCTATTTCTGAACTTCTAGGAGTCTTCTCAGTTCTTATGCAGCACTGATGTAGAAGAATACAGATTTAGTTATGGTTTTGGTGTTCGTGACTGTGGTCATTCCATTGATGAAAACAGCTAGGTTGACTAATGTTTCGGTAAGATTTGTTTCATCGGTTATTCTTGTGTAGGGATTAAGAGCTAACATTATAGTGCCCTAAGCTGACAAAAAGCCTGTTTTCATTTTTGGCGTCAAATTTTTTAATTTGCTAAATCGACAGCTTGATAAATTACCCTACTTGTTTGGAAAAAAAGTGAAACTGTGGCTGTTTGTTAATAAATTGGAATTAGATTTTGGAAGAATGTCCTTTTACGCTGACAAAAATCCTTTATACTAGTATCTCAAAACTGCTGTGAATAAAAATAAAGGTGTTTTCTTAGCGTTCTGCAGTATAAAATGTTTACAAAATTGCCTCTTTTATTTCTGTTCTTCGTTGATATTATTATTTACCATACTTCTAATTTATCCTTTTCTTAGTCAAGTAAACATTTTTTTAGTCTCTACTTACAGCTGTCTTTAAAAACCTTAATTAGCTGGAGTAGATTAAGTTATATATGCTTTAATTGTGATTGGGTTGTGATGATGGCGAACAGTTTGTTGTCATTGTGTTATTTGCGTATTACTGGACATAGTACATGCTTGCTTTAATTTCATGTGAACTGGTCCATGTACTTCAACCGCTTCCCTTACATTGTTACTTCCTGGTGTTTAACTAATGAATGTAAATTAGATTGTTGCGTTTACCTTCCATTACTCGGAGTAGAACATTTTTACTGTTGTAAGTTGTGTTGACCTGAAAAGTTCATGGGAAGTTCCCACTACCTCTTTCAACTAATTCTCATGTGAGTCTATGGCATCCACTCTGAGGATTTTGATTTGTGTAAATGGGATCTTTTAAAGTACAACTTTTTGGGTGAATTCCTTCTTTTCTGTCAATTTAGTATTGTAAACATCACTGCTTTTTGTCTCACGTGTGAGATTTACATGCTAACAAAGACATTGTTGCAATTGACTTGTTGAAGAGTGAGAGTTAAGAAGAGTAATCTACTTGTATTTTCTTTTCAGTCTCTTTTTTTACTTTCAGTGGAAAGTGTTTTAAAAAGTCTTGAATTTTTTATTATTTCCTTGAAATACTACCACCAACAGAGACCTGCAATAATATCCTCTTCAAACTAAGATTCTGTTTATTTTGAGGGTTTTTTTAAAAAGAAAGGTTCAGTGTTATTTAGTTCTTATTAGTAAACTATCCTTTGTTGCTGAGATGCAATAATTGATCATCACCTCTACCGTTTCAGTTTACTGTTGTGTAGAATATTGCAATTATTCAAACAACCTTTAACGATAATACTATCTTTGAAAAGTTAATATAGGTGAGCTACTCTTCTTGCCTTCATAATAGGCTTGAAATTGAAAGACTCTTAAAATTTAATTTTGGGTGATCACATAAAAGGAAATAAACTCTTGATGTAGGGAGTATTATACAGCTTATATAAAAGTTCAAAGTTGTTCTAGTTCTGAGTTGAATGGTGTCTACGCATTTTACTGAGATTCAATCAAAAGGTGTTATGAATGATTCTGTGTAGTTTCATTCCTTGTTAAATCAGTTGACCCTTTTTCAATAAGTCATAAGTTGCTACTAGTTGACTTTTGAATGTTTTGTAGTATTACTTGTAGATGATTAGAGATTTCCTATTTGATATGTCCCTTGTCACAAATAGGACCTTGTATAGCATTTTTCTTCGTAGAGGTTTGTTCTGTTTTACTGATGATATTGTTGTTCAAATGTGAATTTGAGGCACACAGTAACTCCTCAAAACAAAGCAATAGATAAAGAGGATATATTTATATTTTGTATGTGGATCTACCGGCCTGATGAATATTTTTTGTCTTTTGTCAATCTATGATAGATTTTTCTTGTATTCTGCCACCCTTGTTAGTCTCCAGTATGCTATTTTTAGACAATCTATACTGTCACTTAATTTCAATAGATGTACCAATGAGCAATGAATGTTTTGATTTCATCCATGGCCTGTTAGCTGGTCCAGTTTTTTTTCTTGTTAATTGTTCCTGAACTTGTTGTGCCCTGTAAGCAATATTGTGATGTTGTTCTTGTCTGTGCTACATCTTTGCTTCCAGACCCTCCACTTTTGTAGATCTGAGACGTATTCTCAAGAGTTGTTTCATGTTAGATATCAGTTTTTTGGTGATGAATGAACTTGCCGGTAGTATTGCCACTGGTGGAAGCACTGGAGCACTGTGACTCACACTGGGTTAGCACTTGCCTCTGGTATTTGTTTTGCATTACATGACTGATGTTTTTGTAGAAGATATATAAGAAAACTCATCTATCATGAATGAGATTAGATCAATCCCTTTTTACACATTTGGCGCCATGACACTGTTCATCGCTCTGTTGAGCCCGCCCGTTCTCTGTGGGATTTGTCTTATTTGTCTGTAGATTGGACATTGGTTGCCCATGTTTCTAAATGAATTACAGTCAAACCTGCCTTAAAGGAAATCTGTGTAAGACGGAAACCTGTCATAACAGAATCTCTTCGCTCCCTCCTTGATAAATTCTTCTATATTTACCTCTATAAAACTGAAACCTGTCTAGCACGGAAACGGGAAAAGAAGTTCCTTCCCTTTGAAAGGTTTTTAACCTGTCTAAGGGGGAAAATGATATGCCCAATCAGCCCTGATTAAAACTTTTATGTATTTGTTCCATCGACTCTAAACCTTTTGCCATTCTTCCAAGTGAGGAAGGGGAATAGGTGTACAATTTGGGCGTAGATGTTAGCCCATCCATGTGAGCCCTGAATTGTGATGATGGTCAGGTTGGTGTGGATGGGAAATCTCACCCTTGCCTGTTAAAGTGCTGATGCTTTCATGGATAGCGAAAGGTGCGATATTAGTTTGACCAATGCCTGCCGCCCTGATCGTACAGCCAGGCAAGAAAAGAGTTCCTCAAATTGTTGTTACATCCACGGGAGGGGTAGCATTGGTTGACTGTGCCTATTACACCGATGGGTGGGGCTAAGGGTGGAAGCAAAGGAGATGCTCAAACATTTTTGTTTATAATTGGTCAAACAGTGGTCCTATGAAATGCAAGCCCTTCAATTCCCCTAAGTTGGTAAAGGTACAAGACTGAATTTTGTTTGGGCTCCCTTGCGATTCCGTCTTACACAGGTTCGACTGTACTTTGAGATTTCATTATTAGAGTGACAATTCTATAATCTACAATGCGACCTAGTTTCCTGTACTTTTCTTGTTCTTTTCTTTATAAATCTTTTTTTTAACGGAAGGGAGAAGACAGGATGAGATGGTTGAAATTTGCATATAAATAGATTTTGATCAAACCCAGTGGGCATTCTAGGCTTTATGAGGGAAAAATTTGAATTTTCCTAAGTAAAAATGAGAAATGATTTGGCATCAAACTTTGATTTTCTTTCTCTCCCCCTCTGTTTCCCATCCCCCCCCCCCCCCCTCTGTAAAGTAGTGCTCTGTGGGCATTTATTCAATTTCTTTCCTGGTCACGGTCTGCAGAATGGGAGCAACTTTTATGGCCATACTTCCCTACTGGAACCAGTTGTATAAAGATCATGTGTGTTTGTTTTTCTGGATGACGGTCAGATCAGACTTGTTACAACAGCCAATCCCGATATGAGTATGCAGCAAATCAAAGTCAGAATTTTGTGGGCATGGAATGTGGACTAAAAGACTATAATATGCTCATACTGCCTCTCAACTCTCTCTCTCAGCGATTATGCTTGAAGTGGGCTTTGCCAAGTTTGTCTTGTAGTGCCTCAACTTAACCCACTTTAACCATCGACTTGACCCTTCTGCTCTGATATGACCCAATTTTCTCTTCCCGACCCAACCATTGGAATAAATGTTCTCTTCCTTGTGACTTTGTGTTCAAAAGATTCATACTATCATAACTGTTTTTGTGCATTATGATATTCCCATCTTTAGCTTCCAATATATGATAGTACTCACATCACTAATTATTACTAGCATGTACTTCCTGGTCATTTATTGACATTCCATGTTGTCCATGTGTACATACATTCTTCCATTTGGGGCCACGTGTGTTGCACTACAGCTCATCACAAGTTTTCTGCCAATGCATAGTTTACTAGATGCAGGTGGTGATGGAACAAACAAAAAAGAAATCCTGAATGTGTTCTCTTTTAGATCTCAGACTATATGTTACTGAGTTTGTTTTCTCCAATATCTTGTATTTTGCAAAAATGGACATGCTGTTGTGTACAATGTTTCTTGTCAAATCAAAACCACTCTGTATATTCTTCATGGAAATGTTCTCAGAATGTGTTTGTCTAAGATGGGATAAATTTCCTCAGTAGCAAGCAAGCACTGCTGTATCAATGATGATATTCTATCTATGTTATTGGAGTTTTACATGAGCCATAATTTGGCAAACTATGATCAACTGTTTGGGGTGGGTGGGGGGAGGGGGGGGGGGGGCTGGAGTTGGGGCAATGCGTTATTTTTTGCTTTCTTCAATAGGGGCCTACTATGTTTAAAAAAGTCATTTCTTAATGAAAATGACATTTTCTTATTCTCCTCTTTCTATTTTAAAAGTTAACTCTGTGTTAGGTGTGTCAGATATTTAGTCACCCCCCGCCCTGCCACTGACTGAAGTGACTTTAGGCCATTCCCAAAGGGGGGACATTCCTCGTTTATGCACAGTAGAATTGTAAATGGGCTGATTCATCAATGTCACGCTCATAACTGTACCTGATCTATAACAGGGAACTGCTGCTTTTTCTTTCCTAATCCTTACTATTGTCATTTTTCCTCTACTTCTTTTATATGTTTGTCACACTCTTTGACCCGCTATTTCTGGGGTGCCTTGATAGTCGAAGCAGACTTTATGCTGTTGAAGCTAGAGAGGTGAGCAGAGTAAGTCTGATTCCCTGAAAAGACTTCTCTGTTGACATCCACCCATTGGCACTCATATGACCTGATGCAGTTGCAAGCGCCGTAAAACCTCTACTAAAACTAAAACAGATGTTTAGTGCTGAAGGCTGCTTCAAACTTATCTCTCCTTCTTTTCTTTAGTAACATTTGTCTTCTGTAGGATTTTTGGTTTGATTGACATACCCATTTTATGGAGCTTTGGGGTTTAATTCTGAGGGTTATGGGGTGGGGGGAGGTAAAAAATTTTTATTCCACTAGAATATTTTTCCTGTTACCCCTGAGTATGGATGACAAGTGCCCTGCTGTTGTAATGAACTGAATTGTGTCTAGAAGAGTATTGAATATAGCTGTTTTATATAGAATGTATCCCAATTTCCATGTCTATGTATAAATAACCCTTGGTCATCCATATTCTGCTGGTGTTATGTTGTATTGCAATAAATTAATTTCTTAAATCTGTTCCTTGTAGCATTAAATCAACTATTTGCCTTTAATGTACAGATGCTACCTAAAATTTTCTAGTGTTCATCAGGAAGTTTTTACTTTGATAGCAATAAATAGAGATAAGTTATATACTTGTGTTATCCAGGTGCATGTTCAAGCTGTGTTGTGAGAAGTCAGACCTCTCTTGTCTCTGTAGACCCTTTATGACTGATTACTTCTCTTTGGGGTTTTTGTTTTGTTTCTTTTGAGAGTTTCTGCATTTTGTTCCATCTTGGAATTTCCTAACTCTAGACCAGTGTCTTGGTGGGGGACTAGAGTGCTCCTCCTTCAAACTGACTTAC